GAGGGGGATGGGAAGGAATGGAGTGGGACGGGTGGGGGGCCGGTGGAGGAGGAGAAGGAGGTGGAAGAGGGAGGAGAACAGATCTCGCGCGGAGATTGGGGTAGGAGAGAGAGACATCCCTCGTGAATTTGAGACACGTACTAGCTGGTCGGGTGACCACCTCGTGTCGAGACCTTAACGCAGACGCGAGAAGAGTCACCGGCGAGACGGTGGAGAGCCGGTTTCGTGTGCCGCGTGACTGGACGTGGTGTCTCGACGGTCTCGGTGGTCCGAGTCAGCCTCTTGTGGCGAAGTCTCACCCGGACACGTCTGTTCCGTCGGTAGCCTAGGAAGGCGTCCCTCGAGCCGCGTGTCTCTCTTCTTTCTTTCCCTTATCCGTCTCGTATTCTCTCCTTCGCCTCGTACTCAGATTTTTGCGGCGGTACTTCCATGCCGACTCTTCTTACTGAGGTGCCGTCGTTTGTGTCTTGCTGTGTGTTTCCCAGTGTATTTGTTTGTTCAATTTATCGAAGTCTATTACCTGGATGGAGTTTCACTCTGACCAGAATCCTCTGTTCCGGAGTGGACGTCTGACTCGACGCACAACACACACACACACACACACACACACACACACACACACACACACACACACACACACACACACACACAGCAAACACACACAACACACACACACACACACACACACACACACACACACACACCACACACCACCACACACACACACACACACACACAGACAATAACACACAACAGACAATACACACCAGCGCACACGCCGGACCTGTGGCCAAGACGACCGTCTCTACTCCAATCACAGTGGCCCTAATTCGGATCATGCCCACGGTGTCCTCAACGATACCCGTCGTCACTCACACACACGCACACGCACACACAAAGATTAATTAAACCGACGAATGTCTCGGCTTATTAGTCGATTAACAACTCGGTGAAAACATAGACACGCTCTCAGCAACTTTCAACGCTCCTCCTGTTACACACACAGACACGACACATTTCGAACGCCCCACCCACCCCCCACTCATATCATACCGCACCACAAAACAGACTTGCCAATCACACAACACACACACCACCACACACACACACACACACCTACACACTTATGTACAGCCTCTGACTCTTGAGATGAAATGAGAACCTAGTTGCAAAAGGCATCCGCCGTCACCTACATCTCTTTTGCATTTCTAATCTGCTTTCCTGACCACTAAATGATTGCCTTCTCTGTTGCGGCTCCAACGTCAAATAGAAAGCAGACTCCCTCTCCATTTTTCACACATGCACACTGATTAGAGGACCAGGTGTGGGGCAGGTGCAGCAGGTGCTCCCGGGTATCGGGTTCTTGTTTCAGGCGGAGATGTGTAGGAACAAGCATGCACGTGTGTGTCTTTGAGCGTATGTGTGACGGCAGTGGATGAATCCACCTGATCACTGTCACAATGAATCACCCAGAGGGCAAAGCTCTGGACAAAGGAAAGAAAGTGTTTGCGGATTTGTATCTGTATTCACGAATGGGTAGCTTGTGTGATTGACAGATGTTGTTTGTGTATGGCGGAGTGAGGCATCCAACTTTGAAAACAGGATGCAGTTTTCCTCACTATCATATAACAGTTTTTTCTGGGATTTTTGAGATTTTGATGTGTTTTTACCTGTGAGCAGTACGAGGGCGGCCAGGCAGGCGAAGGCAGAGGCGTCCAGGTTTAGGCTCTGGAGGTGGGTGGCGAAGTCCCGGATGGAGTCCAGCCACTCTCCGAACCCACGAAGGCACTGGAACCTGTGCAGCACCAAGCCGTTACAGAAGATGAGTTTATCCTCTGACAGCATCGACCTGAGACACAGAGAGAAAAGGATACATCGGTTAGAATACTATTCCAATAAAATGCTGCATTTTCCTTAGAGTATTGTAAATATAGCTTGTGATACTTGGACAAGGAAACAATTACAATAAAAACAATGAGAGAACCTGGCAGTATGCACGCACACATAGAAACGGGACACACATCAAACACAGGCATGCAGCTGATTAAGGTTGTGTTTTCCAAATTATAGCATTTTAAAACATTCCTGTGTTTCCTTCTGGCAGGTCGGGTGAGGGGTTAGGGCAGAGGGCTGAGTGTGTATTTACAGATAGGTAAACTCTTAAGGCTTTAATGTGCCCAGGCTGCGGTGTGCAGTGGAAACACAAAGCCTTAATGAGGAAACGAAAAGCTTCTCAGATTTATTTAGCCAACAGTTACTCATGACACATAACATCCCTCTCCTTTACCATCGAGCAGAGAGGGAAAGAAAACAAGTAAATGAAAGAGAGCTATGACTAGTCTTTATTAGTGCCTAAAAGAACCTGGCTTTCATCAGAGAGAGAGAAAAAGTGTTGACCTCAAAGTGTTTGATTGAGAAACAGCTGATACTGATAAGAAAGCAAGACAGGGGGGGAAGGGGGGATATAGAGGAAGCCTCAAATTACACCATGCACAAACATTGGTTTAGCAGTTATGAGGCGAAATACCATTTACGTCTAACGAGCCCTACTGCCGTTTAGAAGAGGTACTCCACCCACTCTGAGCATTACACACAAACACAGATGCTGTCGCACATCATCAGCTCTGTAGATCATGCAGAGTCAAAAATACCTTTCCACTTTTATCCAAAAACATCAGAACTAGCCAGAGGGGGAAGGGGGATTTAGATAAGATGCATAGATTACTTAGTGCACCTATATTTCCCTTTTTTCATTCATTACATTTCCGTCAAATGTAGCGTGAAACAATTACATACTTTGAATTTCTTTAAAGAAAATGTGTGTTGTGTTTGTGTGTGAAGCTACTTATTCAAAATTTTGAATTGACCGATAGAAGTGTCAAGTTGGATATATTTAACTCCTATTACAAATAAATGGCTGGAATTTGCCTTGTAAAACAATATGAACCCAAATCCTTCTTATCTTCGTAGCTGATAAGGTCTGCAGTGACCTATTGGTACAATGAGCTAAAATACTATTTGACCCTTGTCTAATAGTAGCACATGAGCAAAACTACACAGACAGGCTGGCAGACAAGCAGCCAAACAGATGCGCAAAACACACACACACAGACACACAGACACACTCACACATGCCCACACACACAGCTGGACGTCTGCCACACATTCCTCTCACTCCTGACTACACTGTCACCACGGTAATCAACCAATAACCACAGAAACAGTTTGGTAACGGGCTGCTTACAGCAATGCCGGCTCAGAAGAGCGGAGCAAATTTACTCTACACGCACTGAGTACACACGCAGACACACACACACACACACACACACACACACACACACACACACACACACACAAGCATACAGACATACGGGGTCTGCAAGGCATTCAAGACAGGGTCAGTGCAGGGCTTCGTCAACAGTAAGATGTGAGCATGGACAGCATCCTTAGCTCTCACGGAAAAATGGATAGAGTAGAACAGTGCTGTGTTTCTGTGCGTTTTCCCTCTGCGCCGTGGGAGTTTGGCTGATAGGAAGATGAGCAGTGTGTGTTTGATATTGGGCCCATATGAGTCCACCGTTGAGCGTGAGTCAGAGTCCCAGCCTGATCCCCCTCCTGCTGGGACTGTGATGCCACCACCCATCCTCTACCCACCCTGCACCTGGACCTACACTGGGAGGAGGAGAGAAACTTGGGATTCTACATCATCAGTGTGCGTGAGTGTGTGTGAGTAAGTGTTCTTGTGTGTGACTGTGTTGGTTTTCTGGCCTAGACGACAGCACAGACAAAGGGATGAGCATGTAGCCCAACCCCCGTCCTCGCCATAAATTTAACCAGCCGCATGCCTTACAAGAGCAGAGCGGTAACCCGGGGCAATTCTGAGGCAAAGATGGGCAAGGGCAGTCATAATGGCACCACAGGTAACCACGAGCGATACACACGTGGTCTCTCTCTCTCACACAAACCACCAGACACATGAAGTAAATCAAGTCGATTCCCTTTTCCACTATTCTTTTTAAATCCAGTCAGGAATTGAATAATTATTTCCCTTCATAACAGCCCTTTTCAGTTTCTCAGCTGACTGGCTTTTATATGGAATTGATCCTGTCAATTCACAGTTCACAATGTTAGCACAGTTTTAGCCCGCGGAGCACACACTGAGCTCTCTGTGCGTCAGATATCAGACGAGCGGAGCAGAACTCTGTGGGTGTAGCTGCTGTCATAGATGCAGACTCCATTCATAATTTGGATCATATGGCGATTACTCAGCTACACTCCTCCTACTTTAGAAATACACCGACACAGCAGCACAAAGCTTTGCCAACAAAGTTCCACACTTAAAGGATATTATCTGCCTGTTGTTGCTAAGGAAATTCAGTTTCTGATTAAGTTGTGCATTTTTTTTATCTTGTGAAGGACTTTTTAGATGTGCACGTATGGATGGAGACTTGTTCACAAGTTAAGTGAAATGAAATGCTAAATGTGTCATCCGTCTCTATCTCCTCTTTCTTACCTGTGAGCCATTCGTAGGACAAACAGCTCCAGGAAGGCAGAGTCTATGAGCAAGTTCTGATCGTCGCGCTGAAGCTCGGAGAACCCAGGCAGCCGATCAGCCCAGCATCGCGTGGTCTCCATTGAGATGGTGAGCAGTCTGTAGAAGAGCTGGATGTGCTCAGCCTCAGAGGAGGAGGAGGGAGGGTCCGAAGTACTGAACTGTGGAGACACAGAGATAAGCTACTGAATAAACTCATAGACAGGCCATATTTTCTTATTGAATGCATGCACTACTCCGACCTAGATCATTTTTTTTTTTTCTTTAGATCTAAAGAAGGGGTATTGGGCGTACCTGGCTGTAGTCGAGGTCACGGGGTGTGCAGTGGGAATACGCCCTGAGCAGAGCGGAGAGCAAACTAAGGGGTGGGGAAGGAGGAGACCCTTCTGTCTGCAGGGGGCTCTTTGGTTTGGAAGGCAGACGGCCTCGGCGCCCCTTTAAGCTATCTGTGCGTACCACTGTGAAGCAGAGAAAGAAAGCAGACCAAATGCAAATATGAATGGGTTGTTCAGTTGAATCTGGTCGTGGCTATGCAGCGTGCACAAAGAACATCTCTTCTCTACCTGATTGGCTTGTTATCAGCATTTTATAGTGGGATAAGTATGACTGAGGCTTTTTTCCACAGGAGCTCTCTAACCTTCCCCCAATCCCTACACAGGAGGCCACTAGCCAGCAGATGGCAGTGGAGCTGTTCTACCGGCTGTATGCAGTTAACAGGATAGACAAGTGTGTGTGTATTTATGAGTGTGAGCAGGGCCGGCCCTGACCAATTTGCTGCCCTAGGCAAGATTTTAGCTAGCATCCCCCCACCCCACCGCGGTCGCTTGCATCACAGTACATTCCAATGTTAATAAAAACACACAGAAGCTGTATATGTTTTTTGGGAGTTTGATTTATTTTAAATGAAAACAAATACAAAATTAAAACCTATAATTGCACACTAAAACCATTATTTCAAAAAAAGAACTATTTCACATAAACCTCTGGTTTTTACTGGGGCTGGGGCAGTTCAACTAACCTGATTTTGGGGGGGAGGGGCACGCCATAGTTTATGGGCGCTGTACGCAATATAGGCGTATACTGTTAGTATAAGATAATAAGATGTACTTTGTTGTTCCAAAATCGGGAAATTGTTTTGTTACGAAAATTACATTAAAAAAATGTTTTCATTTTAAATTTGCCCATTTCAAATTTCCCCAATTTTCGGCGCCCCCCATGGGTTGATGCGCCCTTAGCATTCGCCTTACTGCCTATGCCAAGCGCCGGCCCTGAGTGTGAGTCTGTGTGTGTGAAACAGGTGAGAAACCTCAGGGAAATGGGGGCAATACAAGTGCCACACTAGAGATCAGCAAATCATCTCTGCTATGTATCGGCTTCAGATGTGATGACACAAATCAAGAGAACGTTTGAGGATGTTTCCAACGGATGTTCACCTTTGTGTCTCTTTCAAAGCTTTAAAATCCTCTGGATACCGAGTTCAAAGAGTGACAGGTTCTAATTGGTTAATGTATATTTTCCTTTGTACCTCAGAGAGAAGTTACTGCTTCATGGATGTGTGTGATGCTGCAACAGGCCAGATAATTACCGGCCTGTTAAACCCTGATTGCAGAGACAAACTTCATCACCATGGACTGAAGGTCAGGTTTGTGTATCCTGGTGTGTGTGTTTGTTATCTGTTTAAAAAGTGTGTATCAAATGTTTTTCTCACCTTCCTTGACCATGCCCACACTCAGACACTTCTGAAAGCGGCAGTACTGGCAGCGGTTGCGTCTCCTCTTGTCCACAGGACAGTTCTTACTGGCCAGACACACATACTTGGCGTTTTTCTGCACGGTGCGCTGTGGAGAGAAGAAACAGGCATTCCGATAATCAGCCTCCAAACACAATCAGCCACCTAATATTTGATTTGTTTAATTCAATTTCAGTTTGTTTCCCCCTTACCCATCAAAGAATGAAAGCAGAAGCTTGCAGGTCAGATTTTAATTACGCGCTGAAAGGCGGCGTTGACATCAGTATAATTAGATAAAATTAATTTTCCAACAACCCTCGCCTGCAGGAGGGACAATTTTATTAGCGCCGGAGCTGACAATAGGGACTGAGTGCTTAGCGTGGCGAGGCGGGTCCCGCGAGACAGGGGGACAGTGGCCGTAAGAGCTGCGTGATCAGATTGTTTGTGAAGCTCGCGGGTCAGCTCGTGGCACCTCCGGGGCCTAGCGCATCGCGCCGCTCTCAATGGGCCCCGCGGGGGCTGTTTTCTCCTCGGCTGGCTCGAGCGATTATTACTGACCTTATTAAAATGAAATCAGAAACGGGCCACGTGGGGTCTGGATGAAAGACAAAATAGAGATGGTGGCCCAATGAAAGCACGCCTGCTCTCGTGCAAGCGCACACCAATCGGCCAATCCCGTGCGTTTCTGATTGCTGGTCAAAAACAACTGCTCTCAATCCGAGCTCTATTACTCAATGAAATCTTCCCTGAGCAGAATTAGAAGTACATTTCTCAATTAGACACTGCAGGGAGAAACCATATTCTTTATATTGCATTGAAACAGCCCATTTGTAAGAAGCATTTAGACCATAATAAGGATATTGTGTAACTTTGGCATCCGGTGAGGCCTCCTGTGGCATGTTGCCAATCTGTAAAGACGCCTTTGGATTAAAACTATTGGGCAAGCCTTTGCCTTAGGTGCAACTGCTCTACAATTAAAGGATCAAATTAAACAAGCTTACAATTAGACTACACTTACTGTCATTTGTAGTGTTTACATGTATACTCAGTCATGCTTGGACTCGAGTCCACTCAGGCGAGACAGCACCAGAACAAACTGTAAATTAAACAAACGAAACGCACGGAAAGTGTCGCAGTCTGTCCTCTTCTTTAACGCCTCGAAAACACATACAAACAAATAAATCAAATTAGGAACCCCTCGCGCCACACATGCCCGTGCCCCCGGGAGACCAATAACACACCACTTATTCCATATGCTCCGGCGCGAGTGCGGAACTGGCGCGTAATGGGCGCCCGCGCCGGATGAGAGCCGTTGCTATGGCGCCGAGGCTCGCTCTCATCCTTTCAATGGTCAGTGACCCGTGCACGCGGGGATAAGTTAGTTATGGTCATTAATGTGTTTGAGGGAACATAGCATCCGTTTAGTGAGAGTCCGAACTAAACATAAAGCTGCATGAGAAGCTGGATGACGCACAAAGCATGCCAACATTTATTGACACCTCTATAAACTCAGCACCAAGGACAAGCTTCCAATTTAAAAATCTTTTTACTCTAAGACGCCGTCGAGTGTAGGGGCCGTTAGGTTTGTATTATAATGGTAGCCTTCACTCTTTTTCTTTAAACTCCTCTTTTGACATAAAACATGTGTTTTCGTGCAGCATATATGGGTGGGTGACAGCTGGGTTGACCCTAGATGTTTGTATATATAGAGGAAGTTTTCCCATCAGTAACCTCAGGGCCTGTGATAGCTGGTTCCAAAAAAAGCCTGAGATTGAAATGATCAATTAAGGTTCTGAGAAATTAAGCTCTCATTAGTTGGTCTGGCACCTGTCTCTCTCCAGTGTGTGTGTGTGTGTGTGTGTGTGTGTGTGTGTGTGTGTGTGTGTGTGTGTGTGTGTGTGTGTGTGTGTGTGTGTGTGTGTGTGTGTGTGTGTGTGTGTGTGTGTGTGTGTGTGTGTGTGTGTGTGTGTGTGTGTGTGTGTGGTGTGGTGTGCGTGTGTGGGGCTCTTGTGACTTTGCTTTCTAATAGGCAGCATGGGGCAGGACTGGCATCTCAGCAGAGACACTACATATCAGAGCTAATGCTCTGTAACTAAGTAGTCTCTGATAGTCAGATCAAATGATCTCAATATGGTTAGCAAATATGTAGATCCGTCTTCTGCTCTGTACATTGTGTAGACAAATAGGCACTCTTTTGTGTAGTGAGGAGTTTACTTTGTTCTCGTGAACTTCATCTGTCTTGTAATATACCATGATGTTGGCGGTTTTTCACTATTACAACTTCTTTTTTTAAATTTAAATATTGCCATATCAGAAAAAGAAATATTAGGGTGCTATTATGTTTGTGTGGGAAAAGGACTTAATTCAAGTGAAATATTGCACAGTTATACATTGACTTTCAGAGTTACAGAATGAGTTGTGTGTGCTGAAGGCACATTCATAAAAGCGCACGCTTACAGAAGCTCACATGCTGTGGGTGATGTGGGGGGCAGGCTAGAGGCATGCAGAGGCAGATTCTTTACATATAACATAGCTTTGGCTTCAATTAAAGCCTTTAGGGACATTGTTCGCCCTTCTCTTCCCTCTGTCTCCCGTTTCCCTCCTCTCCTTGGCTTCTTAATCAGAGGCAATCTCTCTCTGTCTGTCAGTAAGTGAAACAATTATGTGTAGCTCTGAGCTGCTGATTTTACGGTTTTCTTTATGGGATTCAATTGATAAGTAATATGTATGTTACCTTTTTCATTTTCAGTTTTCCATCACAGACTGCCAGTACCACATCCCAGCTTTTTATGCAACATGACTTGCATAGCATGCATGCAGTGAAAATAACACATAGCGCTGAACCCTGTATTTTGTCTGATAAAAGCAAAGCTAATGTAAATCACCGGTTAGAACATGGGGTAAAACAGGTCACCTTTTAAAATGTGTTTTTGCTTTTAGCTTAATGTTTGTATACTAAAACCTGAGATCTAGTTTTTATTTATCTTTAAAAATTCAAATTCTGAATGGGTGCACTAAATAAATGGACACCAGTGAATGGACTTCATTATTCTGCCAAAAATAATAAAAACAGGAAAAACAAACTCTTTGTTTAACAGCTAAAATGAATTCACATTGAATATGTGCCATCAAATTGCACTAATGAAATAACAACAATTTACAGCAAGCCTCTGCTATAGTTTAATGTGTGATAACTATTCAGGGATAATTAAATATAATCAGGAAAATATTTTTAGGGGACAATAAAGCCATCAGGATAATGGATGTAATGTGCATGCTAATATAAATAGGAAAAGAGCAGGTGTGTGTAAGGCATGTTTCAGTCTCTGCTCTTGCACTGGATTCAGGGAGTAACAGACTGGAAACACATGTACATGCTACTGTATGAATCTGTGGTCATGTGCATATGTTGTGTGTGCATGGTCAGTTGCATCTGCATGTGTGTGGAAAGTGAGGTTTGACAGGCTGTGTGTGCTGAGCGCTGCAGCAAGCAGACAGCCCGCGGGCCTGCTGCCTGCCACCAGACGCTGCTTTCATTAATTACTAAATAAAAACAAATTGTGAAACTAATTGAAAAGAAGGATAATTCATTTCCACCTACCAGAGGCATTATTCAATTACCTCTGTGTGTGCACCCCCTTCTTGCTGTCACTTAATTTCACTCTCTTGTCTCATGCAACCAATAGAAATACTTAACAAGTGCGTCGGAATATGTTATAATTCAAAAACTCTGCAAAGAAATGACTTGGAGTTGCTGAGTTCACTGTTATTTCAATGAGCACATGCCAGACAAGTTTGTCTTAGTGTTTTTATGACTTGTAAGAGAAAATCTGTCCGACTAAAAACTGTCACTTGGTCACGTTAAACTATGAGTTGTGTGTGACCACATGTGCTGTAACATGGGATGTGAGACAGTGGGGTGGGTGTTAAATTGAATTATTTGACGGACAAAATCTCAAACTGACTAATATCGTCCTCTATATTGTCAGAGAAATGTGGTCAGTTTCATGGCCATTGATTACCTGCAAACGGTCCTTGATTTCAAGGAGGATTTATTTTTAACTACACTTACCACACTGTGTTCTCACATAACACAAGCAATCACACAGCACATAGTCCATGCATACACACAATTTGCCTACTTGGTTGCATGGAGAGAAGACCCCTGTGCGTGTGTTGTGGTGACTCTTAAGATTATTTATATGGTTGCAGGAAACATGTCTTAAGTCAAAAACGTCAGTCAGTATGCAGCTACTTGATGATATTTTATGGTTGACTGTCTGTTGTGAATGTGAATGTGCATCTGCTCTTCTGTTTGTTTATCGGATTAAAGGACAAGAAGAGGAGTGGGTACTTTACAATACCTTAAGGAATATAAGGAAGAAACATAAGGAATAAATATGAAATGACTCCATATATGGCATTGTTTAAGCTTTAGGCTTTCATAATAGTTTCAGGGTTTGGAGTAACACTGATATAAATTATTTGCTTTGAGGGATTTTACCTTAAAGAAGCCCTTGCAGCCCTCACAAGTGCGTACGCCGTAGTGCTGGCAGGCCGCGTTGTCCCCACACACCGCACAGGTGCCCTCTCCCTGGAGGCCCCGCTGGGGAGGCGATGGCAGGCTGTCTCCTAGTAGGGGGCCACAGTGCCCGAGAGTCAGGGAACGAAAGGCGAGGCTGCTGCCCCCGGCCCCGCGGTGCAGCTGGTACATGGGCTGCTCCAGGGGTGGACAGTGAGGATGGGAGACCGAGGATGAGGAGGAGGAGGAAGAGGAGGAGGTGCGAACTAGTCCACCACCGAGATTATCGTAACCCCCGATGCTGCCTCCGCTGTGTGGCGGCGAGTGCTGGTAGAAGTGCGGAAAGCGGGGCGACTTGAGAGGGCCCGTCTCCAGGGAGCCCAGAGAGTGGGGGTGCGACGGAGGGGCCAGGGGGTGGTCGTCCCAAAGGAAGGAGGTGCCAGGCTGGGGTGGCAGGGACGGGGTAGTGGGGGTGGAGGGGGGAGACTGTTTAAAGTACATGGTGGAGGAGGACATGGCCTCCATGGGCGGAGCCGTCGGGTAGCTCTCCTCCTCCTTCTTGATGAGCCGGTGTGTCGGCATCTGGTAGAGGCAGGAGGACTTGGGCTCGTAGCTCCCCTCCACAAAGACGTTGAAGCTGGGGAGGGACGTGGTGGCGGCAGCGGAGATCTCACCACCACCAAGTTCCAGCTTGGTGTAATCAGGGGTCATGAGGTCAGAGCTGTAGCTGTCGCCTTGGTAACTGAAGGACTGGCCAGAGTAGGCTGAGCCTGGGGGGGCGGGCCCGTACTGAGCCTGCACACAGGGCATGTCTGCCGGAGAGAGAGAGCAGACGTAGGTTAGAGCTGCGTGGCACATAACACCAGATGTATTCCAAAATGTTTTCAGTCAAAAAGCATTTTAATAGTGTTAGTAGAGTACAGCTGTATGGCAACAATCATTCAGTGAGAAAATTACACATTAGTTAACAACTGATTTAAACTGAAAGCAGGACTTCAAGAAGAAGGAGATTGCCCACAGAAGCACAGTACAGGAACAACCCTTTAGTGAATTTAAAGGGTGGAGGCACATGCTCACAAAAGTAGTACAGGGTAACAATTAACAGTGCACGATAAAAAGATTCTGCATATATCTGATGAAACAGGCAGTCCTTTTCAGCTCTTTAGATCTCAGAGATTTTGCTCATTTATAAAAATGTCCTAATAGGATCTTTAAAAAAATATTTTTATTTTATGCCATTTAGACCATTTCCTGCTTTAATACTTCTTGCACTTCTCTGAATAAATAGACATGTGAAGCACACACACACAACCTCCAGGCAATGAAGACTCTCCTACAGTCAGTTCAGTTAGAGAAGCTGCAGCTCATCAGTGCACAATCCTGAGGCAAAGCATTCAAAGCAGAGATTTAATCCACTCTACAAACTGAAAAGTATCTGTGACCAGGGTGTGTTTGTACATGTGTGTGTGCTGGGTATCTGTGTGTGTGGGTGGGTGTACAGTTAGTCAGATGGCAAAGCAGATGAGATAACATTAAATAATAATGGAACCCCATGGTGGTGCTGAATGCTGGCTGCACAACCCACACACAAATGCACAAACACACAAACACACACATACACACACTGACAAATGCAGACACAGATATTTCCTCTAACTGCAACAGACGCCAGTCGGTATGTCTTGTGTTTCCCCCCTTGATTTAATTGTGTCACAGCAACAGGCCACCACCTCTTAATCTGTGTGCGTGGACTATATGGTCTCATTTTATCAAACCCTTTACGTAAAACATTGCTTTTGCGTGCACGTGTGTGTGCATGCGTGTGCGGGCTAATCGGTCATGAGTGTCAGCGCTGGGTTTGTGGTGTTTGCTCGTCGCTCCTGAGCAGGGAACTGTCAACACGCGGCTCCCATTGACGCCCAGCATGCGCGCGCTCTGTCGTAATCGCCCCTGTTCCCCGCGCGTCATGTTTGTCTAGTCAAATACGGGACACATCGGGAACTGCTGTTGTTAAAGCACCCACAAATACCAGCATCCAAACGGAGGCACGAAGCCCCAGTCAGGGAATTACAGCCCGTTTCCTGTTCTTTCTTTAAAATCATTTTAAAGTCCTGCAGAAATCCACTCTTTCTCCCCTAATAACTTTTACTAATAGGCTTAAGCACACGTTTCGAAAATAGCCTACAACTTTTAGTTTGCGGTCATCTATGCCTAACAGCCTGCAGTACACGATTGTCACTCATGGCGGAAGCTGAGTGACACATTAATTTAAGCTGCTTCAACACAATTAAATTCAACCTGAGGGGCAGTATGGCGGTAGGGGGTCGAAAGACATAATGACTCAAAGCGGTAATTAAAGAAAAAGAAAAAAAACAATAAGGGAGACACTCATCTATCACTTTATATATTTATTTAATGTTTCTGTTGGTCCTGTGTATTTGGTATAACACAAAGAGACAGTTCAAAAAAGCACTGTCCCCTATTAAAAATAATAATCCTGCAATTTATTTTTTAAATAAATTCAATATCTCACATTTATTTGGTTATATGTCATATTGGGAATATAATGCTGCATGAGTTTTTTTAAATTGAGGATATGAGTCAAACTGTAGGCTTGCGTGTGCTTGACGTCATTTTTTTTTCTTCTTCTACTAGTGACCAACTCTTCTATACCCACGTGGAAAACCACACACGCAGCATTAAGGGCTTCATTGGGGCCTTTCTGGGTTATACCTAAAGTATTTTTGCAACAGATTAGGCATCAAAGTAAGTAGAGGAAAAACAAACTCAATCGTGAGCAGAGCAGAGTACAGTGGTGAACTTTGTGGCTCTCAGTGTTGTGTCAGTAGGTCAAAGTCACTGCCCAATGCTGCATTAGTGTGTGTAGGTATACTGTAGGCCTATATGTTTTTGCACCTGTGTTTTTTTTGTTGGCAGCCTTATGCAGACATATACCTTTAAATAAAATAGATATAAAACACAAAAAAGAGAGGCATAAGAATTGTTTTAAAACAAATATAATCTACTTGACAGCTGACTACAAACATAGTATCTCTTATCTTTTGGGCTCTGATTATTGACTCTGTGTGTCAGCTGAGGAAAGACACTTTTGATGTGATGATTTTTTCATACACACATAGTGGCACGCGCACAGCACACACACACACACAAACACACACACACACACACACACACACACACACACACACACACACACACACACACACACTCTATTTAATTCACTCTCCGGTTTCTCTGGCTTTCTTTGCGTTTCAGGATGAAGAAACAGATGGCAAACCTTAGCGATAAGTATAAAAGTCAGAGAGATGAGTTTACAAAGAAGAGCCGGTATTTGTCCGAGGACTACAAATGCAAAATAAAGCAGTATGAGCGCATACAGAAGCAACTGAAGTGAGTCATAACATCCCATCAACTGAGAGTAAAACAGACATGCTGTACTGCTGAACATGTCTTCTTCTTCTCTTCACCCAGGCACTTTGCAGTCGCTGATGGCAGAAAGTTCGAGGAGATGTGGCTAATGATTGATGCCGAGGTGAAGCAACTAGTGGAGAGGGCTTTGGACATCGACTCGCAGATCTGCAAGCAGCACCTTGGGGTGGCCTGGGAGCGACCCGTCATGGGGTTCATGGAGCTCTGCGGTCCCATCCAGCCCCAGGGGGTCCCTCAGCTGCTCCACACTGGACAGGATTCTCAGGGCAGTCAGAGGATGATGGACCCCTCAGGGAGGAAGGAGAGAGAGGCTGAAGGGAGCGCGGTGCAGAGCGAGAGCGGAGCAGAGGAAGAGGAAGAGAAGCTGTCCATGGAGACACTGAAGGGAGTGATGGAGCTGCTGTGTGACAAGGCGGTGAGAGACAAGTTCATTTATGTTTGATACAGGAAGACGTTTGTACAATCACAACTATATTTATATCTTTACGAACAGTAATAACCATGATATCTAAGACTAATCTTCAATGCTTTATTTATCTCTGATCACCCTAAGCTGAAGCTTGATATTTCAGCCACGCTTTGAGCAAAACACATATACACTGAGATGCTTAAAGATAAGAAAGTACTTTATTAATCCCAATTTGGGAAATGTTTGCGGACTTGGGCTGTCCGCTGTTTTACTTATTTTAATCCTAACCATCATTTTCGAATAAACCAAATCTATCCTATTTTTAGGGGACAGTAATGCTTATTTATCATACTGATATTACAAAGTGGTATCGATCTTCTCATCAAACTCTCAGCAAGAAAGCACACACGTGTTTTCAAAGTTTTGGGCTATCGAAAGTTAGGTTTACAATTTTTCAGTAGCCAATATGAGTGTTTTAAAAAAGTTTTGGTTGCTATAATCGTTCAATTTATTTGTCTATGACATTATCTGACAAGTATCTTCGACCAAAATGTCCCCTTCCTTCTGCCTCAGGGCTTCCTGATGGAGGATAAACTCCTGAAGCTGCTGATTCCCCTGGGGAAGGAGGAGCAGACCGTGGTGAAGCTGGGCTCTCTCCTCTCTGTGAGTTCCTCTGATGTCATGAGACTGTTGGACTGTACGGAGCAAATACTGACCAAAAGACATGTTATTTTCTCTTCTAGTATATTGGCATTGAAGAGGAGGATATTCCCAAGTTGGCTGCTTTCTTATTAAAGTACAGACATCAGCAGAGGGAGCAGACCGAGGTGAGGAGGGACAGGGATGAAGAGTTTAGTGGATGGATGCTCTTGAATGAGGATTGTAATTATTATCATATTTACTGATGATTATTCTCTGCCCGCAGGATGTTTGTGATGGGTCGGGGGAATCTAATAACAAGGCAGAGGAAGAGGGGACCGAGCCTACGACTCATCTGACCTCTGACCTCGATCCGTATGACGTTGTGCCTGCTCTAAAAAGTTTCCTCCGGCAGCACATGAGGTCCAGGTAAGAACACATTTACACTCATTCAACCTTTGTTGCTCAGTTTCAAAAGGTTTCTCTGAAGGAATAAATGAAATGATTACTTCATTTTAGGAATTATTACCCTTTTATTTTTTTATTTTTTTTATCAACGTTCTTTATTGGAAGCAATTAGAACAACAAAACAACAGAGCAGTGTCACAGAGAACTTCCATTCTTCCCCGTCATTTTATCCCTCCCACAATCCCACCCAAAGGAGAACACTTCTCAGTACACAAAATGTAAACAGTACAAAATACATACAAGAAATACATAAGTATGGAAAAAAAAAAAAAAAAAAAAAAAAAAAAAAAAAAAAAAGGGGGGGGGGGGGCTCAGTCGTCACAGTCAGGCAGGGATGTCAGAGATTCAATATGATTTAAGAAAGGTCTCCACGTTTTTTTAAAAGAGCTTAAGGAGCAGTTGATGGAAAACCTAAGCTTTTCGAATCTAATGGACAGTAACATTTCTTTCACCCACCTACTATGAGATGGAGGTTGAGCGTGTTTCCAATTGAGGAGTGTAAGTCGCCTGGCTAACAGGGTGGCAAAGGCTAGAACAGTCTGTATAACTTTAGAGGCGACAGGCTGCAGGGGGGCACCAAACAAGACCAAGAGAGGATCTGAAAGGATAGTAGTATTATATGCTGTGCTAAGAGTTTTGAAGACATCAGACCAGAATGTGGTGAGCCTAGGGCAGAGACAGAACATATGGGAATGGTTGGCTGGGGATTGTTTGCACCTATTACAAGAGTCAGTTACATTGGGGTAAATCCGAGATAGCCTCAAGTTAGTGTAGTGAACTTTGTGCACAACTTTACACTGTAGGAGGCCGTGCCTTGCACAGATTGAAGAGGAGTNAGTGTTTGATGGTAAAGGCAGGTTTTCCCCCCCCCGCCCGGGGGGGGGGGGGGTTTGACATAGGTATCTGTGATAGCTCGCCCGGTCGCGTAAAAATATAATCAGGTGTTACGATTGTGGCTCGTGCGAGTCGCATGTCGCCTGCGTATCTGTCGGAATCGTCTGGAGAAGTGCCGATTGCTTCCTAGTGAAGATCCGTCCCAACCTCCGAATGAGAGACATTTACATTAGTCAATGAGCTTATGCTTATGCTACGAGAACTTTCCATTAGTCTTATGTCAATCAAGCATCAACTTCTAAATGAAAAATCTTATGAAAACCTTAGGTGAAAGAAAAAGGTAGATTGTCTACCCATGCCATACGAAAACCACTTGTCCTCTTTGAATAACTGACAAAAAGAAAAAATTTTGTTTTTTTTTTTACACCCCCGGGGGGGAAAAATAGTTCTTGAGTTCGTGTTGTAGAACCACAGGTAAGACCTGCGAGGGAGAGTATGACGTAGGTGATTTTTGTTAGACTTTTTAAACTTTCCACGGTTTTATCTTTTACTTAATAGTAATAATACATAATAGACTTTGCTTACATTATTGAGAAATTTTGAAAAAGTCAGTGGAACGGGTACGTAAGTCGTCGTCGTCCGGGTAAGGTGGGAAACTTAAACTAGGGCAATACTTTACAGTGAGTAAAGCTGGTTATTTATTTACGAGTGTATGTGGCAATAGAAGCGTGTAAGTAGATTGGTAAGGGGCAAAGATGTGAAGAGTTATATAAATTTTTCTCTAGAGAGAGAGAGTAGACGCACGGCCCCCGCCCCGCAAGTGTCTGGTGACGTAGTAGAGAGTCGAGTGTCTGGTACGACCGTCGCGACACGTGCACACCGTGTGTCAAAGAGCGCCAGTACTTATAATGTTAAAACACTCCTTTGAAAAAAAGGTGGTTAATTGAGTTTGTAGTTTGTGATCCCTGGTGTAGATGAAGGATGTGTCAGGATGTAGAACTCTTGTGTGAATATTGGATAAAGCCAGGTTCATATTCTTGTTTCATGTTGTTGACATATTAGAGTCAAAGGTTTGCACAGAGCGAAATATCTTTGTGTTGCGCCATAAATCAGAAAATACTGCATTAAAAAAGTCATTTCCTGTATGTTTCTACTGATAAAGTGTGATATAAATAATGAACAGGCTTTCAGATTGCTATAGTTAACTAAACAGAGACATTAACGACATGTTTGGTGTTGAAAATGTCAGAAAAAGTGAAAGAATGGGAGATAAATATCCCCAAATCTCAAAATTGTATTATATTTTGTGTGTGTTTGTGGTCCTCTTTCAGTTGAGACACTGTAGGATGCTTCCGGAAAAGACCAAATACTGGATGTCTTTCAGTCGCCAACATGTGTTTTCGAGACACTGATATTAACGGGGAAATCCTGCAGGACTCAAATGCCTCGTCTCTGTTACCTTAAACTCATTTGGGAGTGATTACCCATCATCAGCCCCGGGGGTGCAGAGGAAAGGCAGCGTTGCCCCCGGTCTGCACGTTGTTTCTCTTTCAGAAACACAGAGGACTGTTTGTATGATGCGATCACAGGCACGCTGCAAACGGTGTCCGCCAAAGGTCGAGTCCAGTGTCTATATAGTGTCATTTTTCTTTGTTATAGTTTGGGAAAATTGAAAATTGATAGGGAAAGCCAGCTACTGTAAGTCGGTAGACGGTAAAAACATGTCAAAAGTGGTAGACTACCGCCCAAATCGGTAGGGTTGGCAGGTATGTAGATCCTAAGCTACTCGTAAAATAACAACCAATGTTTATTGGTTGTTATTACAACCATTTTCAATAATAATAATAGCAATAATAATTGGGAGGGGGGGCACGGCTGTTCTTATGCTCTCTGAGGGGAGGCTCACCTTCCCATACTTTGAAAACCCCTGCTCTATACGATAGAGAACGTTAGCGGGTTCAACTGACATCGTCTCCGTGTGGGCGGGGCCTAAGCTTCCTATGCTTGCTAATACTTTCACTCCAGGTTACTGATGCAGTTACACAACCCATTGTGATTGATTTAGCACTGAGGAGAATGAGCAAGATGCCAATATTTGTGCCATTGAAGCAGTGTTACTGCAAATCAGGTGTAATGAAACACATATTTGTCTGAGGAAAATATGTGTTGACTAATTTACAGTCTTTGTTGACAGCATCTTCATTTTATGCAGACAATGGTGTCAAATCAGAAATGGAATGTGTGTGAGATTGGATGGAACAGAGCAAGGGCTGAGTAAGAGGAACAGCAGCAAACATTATTAGGGAAGCTTTTCTGTGGAGTATTGCAAAATCAATACCTTAAAAAATGGGTGCAGAGCAGTTCCTCAGGGTAAAATGTTTTTTTTGTATTACACTCATCTGCTAACTTCTCTGAGATGCCCAAATAACTTTTCTCTTATTATCTGATCAGGTGATGCCAACCTTAGAGCTTATTATCATGGGAGGTGAAACAGTGAGCCAAATGCAGGCCACAGGAACTTCCTGCAGAAAAACTATTGAATTCCAGGCTTGGTCCAGACAAGCAAAGCAAAACAGAAAATAACTTCACAGTACAGAACAAGCAAGAATCCATCAATGGCTGAAGAGAAAATCCGGACTTTATACAAGTTGAACTAATGAGTGGATGAAGTGCAGGCGGTAGCAGGGCTGATGGGAACAGGTGATACTAATTAGGCTGGGTCAGACCATTACAAAAGGCAGAAAAACAAACAAACACAGGAAGTAAAAACAGACATGACACACATACCTCATTCACACCAACGCAACTCCGGTTCAAGCTCCGTGCTAGAGCTTTTCAGGTTCACAACCGGTTCTTCGATTTAGCTCCGGCTCTTTTCACTGCCCAGAGTCCGACTGGTGCTGCGTCATTGCGTCATCGTTTGCGTCATGACGTAACCGTTTGCGTGCCTGCTTCATAAAGCCAAACCACGCGGAAACCCCTCACAGCTCACACCGACAACAACAACAATGGCCGACAACAACAACAATGGCCGACAACAACAATGGCCTCATCACCCTCATTACCCCCATCACCCTCATTACTGTCATTACCCTCATCACGCCTCCAGCTTCCTCTGTACCTCTTCGGAAGACCAGATTCCCAGTAGGTAGCTGGTCTCTTCAGTGGACCACTGCTGCTTGTTAAGTTTCTCCATCGTTGTGTACAAACTGGATAAAACGTGGGCTTTTTGTTGTTGTCCAGGAGTTGATCCCGCCCCTGCCCCTGACCCCGCCTCAACGTAAGCGTGACGTATGCGGTGCTTTTGCTCTGGCCGGACAATTTTTTTGGTGCTCGAAACAAACTGGATTCCGGAGCTAAGAGGCTGCTCTGCTGCGGTGTAAATAAGAAAACCCGGTGCTTTTCAAGCTCCAGCTCCGAACCGGCCCTGAAACACCGTTGGTGTGAATGAGGTAAGAGTAAGAATACTTCATAAAATAAACCAATAAACCAAAAACTAATACAATGACAGTAATATCATTTTTGAAAGTACTCCAGGATTCCAGTCATGACTGTTTAATTCATACAATATTTCACCTTTAGTTCATTTAATGTACATGTTACATGTTGCATGTACATGCACATTAATTATGTTAGGTTCAAGTCTGACTTGATGGTGGAACTATCAAATAAATATCAGAAGTCCAAATCCAAAGACTTCTATCTTCATGGCTCTTCTCTTGGATTTGCATCTGAACCGAAGCAACTGGGAATGTATTTGTGAAGCCAGTGAGGAATCACGTCCTTAGAGCTGCAATCTTTAATTCCACTTGTTGATCAGTGTGCCGGTAGAGCAGCATAAAGAAACTAATTGCCCTAGACCGTCCTCGCCAAACACTCCCCATATTGATCATTGGTAGCAGCTTATTAAGACTCTGATGTTAGCTGTATGTAAGGTACAAGCAAAGGAGGAAGACCCTTAAACAGAATACACATCAAAGTTGCATGTTGGGGTTGATGAATGGGTCAAATCAACATGGGACCTTCACCCAGGTAGCTGATTGTGTCCTGAACGAAACCACAAGTGAACCTTGAGTAAATAGAATTAAGTAAATTCCGCAAGCGTGCCACCATTACCATTGGAAACT